CTGAGGCTGCAGTCAGCAGTCAGAGGGTAACAATGTGCCCAGCCCTTGCAGCCCCATTGGAGTTTTAATTTGATGAGAGATGAAGCTGAGGCCTGTAGGGAGTGGGAAACTTGCTAGAAAAGATCTCCCAGAAGCCCCATGGTCCAAGAAAGGTCAGTAGAAAAGCCACCCACCTTGTTTTCTCCTATTCACCTTTAATTCTAGTCACATGGGAAGGTAAGGTTTCTGCTTTTACAGGCAAGGGAGTCTCGTACATTTATAGCACACACATCCCTATTTATTAGGTTTAGTTTACAGCATAATTGAACTGGAAATGCAGAAATCGTCCCTTGTACAGCCTCCCTCCAGCTCAGAGCCAAGTGTTTTATCCGGCAGTTGAGCTGCACTGATGGTTGGGTCTCGCAGAGCCATTGGCTTAGCAGGATTCTCTCTTGGAGTTCAGGAGTTGTGTGTTCTCTTATTCCATCACCCTTTTTGGTTTGGTTTTGTTTTGGTTTTTTTTTTTTTTTTTTTTGGAGACAGGGTTTCTCCGTGTATCTTTGGCTGTCCTGGAACTCACTCTGTAGACCAGACTGACCTCAAATTCACAGAGATATCCTGCCTCTGCTTCCTGAGTGCTGGGATTAAAGGCATGCACCACCATGCCCAGCTCCGTTACCCTTTTTCAAAGTCCAGGTTGGCCTCAGACTCTTTATGTAGCCTGGGCTGGCCTTGCACACCTGATCCTCATAGTGCTACATTGCAGTGTAGGCTTGTAGACATGTTCTACCACAGCCATCCTGACTTGCTCCCTTGAGGATTGTGAGCTCTTACCTTCAGTGCAGGGCCCTTAGAGGCAGGGTGGCGGCCACCAGTGCTCTAATAATGGCATGATGATTTATTATCATTGGGCTTTCAATACAGGTCGAGAGCTATGAGTTTTGATTTTCCTTTTAAAAAGGGATCAGGAATACCTCTACTGACAACCAATTTGTCCCCGCAATGCCTCTCCCTCCTGCATGCAATGGTGGCCTATGACCCTGATGACCGAATCGCGGCTCACCAAGCCCTTCAGCACCCCTATTTCCAGGTGCAGAGGTAGGATTTCTGGTAGACTGCCGAATGATGAGTGGGAAGTCTTGGTTTATGAGACCCATGGGACAAGGAGCTGCTTTGGGGTTAGATGTCAAAGCTCTAGTATCCCTAGAAGAGCCTGGGGCACATCCAGGATAGTCAGCATAAGTTCACTGAGTGGTCTGTATGCCACCTAGCTCTAGAGGGTTTTCTAAGTGCTTGGCGGGAGGGACTTACCGAGGGCACCTAACCTCACACATCTATACACTCCTGAATTTGACTGTTTGGCCCTACTAAGGCCACATACAATACTGCACGATTAAGATAACTTTTGTTCCCAGCCCAGACAGCACTGAATTTGTACAGGAAGGGAAGAAAAAGGACCCTTTAGTTCTGTGGAAAACAGCATGAATGGCCACTCATAAGGGCATATTTGTAGCTGAAGGAAACAGCTAAGCTCTGGAGCCATTATCAGAGATGGCCACATTCTTTTCCTCCCCTGTAGGGCCGCTGAGACACAGACCCTAGCCAACCACAGAAGAGCTTTCTTCCCGAAGTACCCCATGGTGCCAGAGTCATCCAGGCAAAACTGGTCATTCTCAAAGGAGGGCAGAAAGCAGGTATGAGCTGAAATCAGTGAGCTGGGTAGACTGGAAACCTTTACATAACTTGTTTCTGAGGAGGCCACAAGGTGTGGAGGTTGGTGACACACCCGTTCCAGAGGGCACCATGTCAACTGAGTCCTGAACACCATGCGATTACAGTCTCATGTTAGGAATATTCTAATTGCTCCAGGTAGTATGGACCTGCCTCCAACTACCTAAGCCCTTTCTGCCTCACTACCTACTAGAACATGTGTGTAAGCCCAGACAGGGGACCATTCCATGGGTATCTGATCTGATCTGATCTGATAGCCATGTGCAAGTACCTGTTCTGCACCAAAGCCCTTTGTGGTCACATCACAATGTGGTCACGTATGTCCTGAGAATGAGCCCAACAGGAGGTACTGAGAAGCCATTCTTCCTCCTCAGACATGACAGCTTCACCGTGCACTCTCTCTGTCTTCCTTTCCACCTATCCTGTTGCATCCTGACCTGTGGTACCCATTGGCTCTGCCGGCCGTACAGCCTGGAGCTAGTATCTAACTCTAGCTGTAGCCTCTCACCAGTCAGTTGTTTCTCACATCTTTACCATGCATGGCAGCTCTGATCACATGGGGCCACTGCAGCCAGTGTCTCCCAGAGCTTTGGCCAGGAACCAAGTGTACTTGTGCAGTATCTCCTGCATTCCCCATGGCTGTCTTTCCCAGGGGGCCTCACATGCCCAGGCCCACATGGTAATCTCCTCTCCCTCAGCTCCTACGACCATAAATGGCCTCCAAACTGCGTGCTCAACTATGTCACCCTCTACCCTCATGTCGTCTGCTGGCATCTCTCCATCCCACCTCACCCCCAATTGTGTAGTCACATCCAAGATGAGCACTAGTTACTGAAGGCTATGCCTGTCTCCTGGCTGCGGCTTGCAAGCCACACCTCGATGAGGGCATCCAGTGTGGAAGAATCTTATTCCAGGGAGCTGCGCACTGTTTTCCACAAATCTTCACATGCTAGGCATTTTTTTCTAGTACTTAAACAATGCAGAAACTACTGGGCATGGTGGAACACACCTTTAATCCCAGCACTCAGGAGGCAGAAGCAGGCAGATCTTGGTCTACAGGGCAAGTTCCAGGCCAGCCAGGGCTACACAGGGAGACCTTATCTCAAAAGCAAACAAGCAAACAAATGAATTCTTACCCTGAAGCTGTACAAAGGCCTATTGGGGTGAACAGGGCCTAGAAAGCCCAGTCATAGCTCAGTGTTTTAAGCCTGCACTGGCCCACCACCTCACTTCAAGTTGGCCAAAGCACAGCCTTAAGGCTGTGCTGAGGGCCAGTGCTTGGTAGGATCTGCAGAACAGAGGAGGATTCCTGGGGGCTCTCCTTTTACTGGTGGGCTGTAGGAAGGCTGCCATACACTCGTGGCTGGCTGTTTACCGTACTTTCCATCCTGGCACTAGCCAGGCAGTTTGATCAGGCAAAGAGTGTCCTTTGCTTGAGCTGATTCCTGAAGGGGAACTGATCAGTGTTCTGTTTCAAGAAGCAGCCCCTGAGGCAAGAGGAGTGCCGTGCCAGAAGACAAGGGCCAGCCAGCTTGATGGAACTGCCTAAACTGAGGCTGTCCGGAGTGACCAGACTGTCATCGTGTTCCAGTCCTGCGCTGCGGTCAGTGTTAGGCACTGGAGCAAACGGAAGAATCCCTGTGTTGAGACCCCTGAAGTGTGCTGGTGTGAACAAGAAGGTAGTAGTCTCTAGCTTTTCTGTGGGGCTGCTCTAGGGCCTGGACTCAGTCTCCATTCAGTGTCTGTGGTTCTTCTTTACCAGACAGACACACAGAAGGACATCAAACCTCACCTGAAACAGTATCACCTGCCTACGATCAACAGGAAAGGGGGCGAATACTGAGCAGCACACCACCTGGTCACCCTTTTGGAGAGCAAGGGCAGGCGCTATGAGCAGGCTTAGGCCCCTGCGGCTGAGAGTGGACGGGCCAGAGGATACCCTGTGTGCTGGTGGTCCTGACAATGCTTGGTGGCCCAGGGACAAGCTGCCCAGCAGCCCGTCTGTACCCACAGCCTGGAGCCGTGTGTTTGCCACCCAAAGCAGCTGTACCAGATGTTCCAGTTTAATACATTTGTAAAACCACCTCATTCAAGGGTTTATTTCATCCTCATAATGTAAGGATTTGAGGTGACTTTTTATATGAATCAAAATATAAGATTGGGCTTGGTAACTCATACCTGTAATCCCAGCACTGGGGAGGTGGAGGACAGCAGGTAGACCCCAAACCATAAGGAAAAGGCTACGTGCTTACACTAGAGTCTGCAGGCCTGACTCCCGTGGTGTGCTGGACTGTGAGGACTGGCCCAGAGCCAAGAATTCTCAAGTGAGACATGTTTCTCAGTCAGCCTTACACTGGACTGGCAGTGAGGGATCAAGGGATGTGACAGACAAAGGATGGAGCAATTCCATACCAACCAATGGGTGAGGCCAGAACAAAAAAAATCACACAGCGTCAGTTAAAAAAGGATAAACAAATAGTATATTCAAGATAATTTTAATATTAATGTTTTTGTGAATTAGAAATATCACTCTTAAATGATGAAAATTACTAGTGAAGTAACTCCCCCATTTCAGAATTACATTATTTACATATATAATACAGGCTTGATTGCATTGGAAACAACAGTAATAAAATAAACGTTAACAGATAAAAAGGGCATCTTCACTCCATGTGGTGGAAGCCGGGAGTCCACTACCCCCATATTCAAAGTCATTTTCTATTAGCATTAAACTATTTTAAGTGCAAACAGTTTTTTTTAAAATCTATGATTGCAGCATCTGTCTTTCTGAATTATGTATTTAAGTCAGAAGGTGACAACTGTCTTCATGAGTGCATCCCAGGCTGTCTAGTGACTACCTAAAGTATAAAATAGATCAGTGCAAAACCAGAGCCAAGTGCTATTCATAACAGTTGAATTTAAGGTTTCTTGTCCAAGAAACATTTTACTTTACACTATGTATATATGTATATATATTATATATGGGATTTAATTACATTGAATTTTAGAGTAAAAAGCAAGAAAACTCCATTTCTCATTTTTTACTGCAGCCCCAACAGACTGATTTAAAAATGGAAGCAACTCTTTGGGTTAGCAGCTCCACACAGCCCTACAGGCTGCCGCTGCCTGCCGCCTGCATGTGGCTCCAGCGCAGCTCATGGCTCCGTTGTCGTCTGTCACTCCCTCAGTCCACACGTGTCCGGGGGAGCCTGGGAGCAGCAGTGCAGCTGCTACACTACAGTCCCACCTGGAGAACTGGCCTGGTTTGGGGATGACAACAAGCCCTGCGAACAAAGCAGTTTACATTAATCCAGCAAGACACGGGGGCAGCGCAGACAGCCCCGGCACTCACCCTTGGCCAGCGTTTTTCACAGGCTTGCATGCCTTTCCAAGGGCCGGAAACCAGGCTTTAACACACTCTCTGTTCCACCTAGCTAATTCCTCTCAGAGAACTGTCCTGTGCCTGGAATGAGATTCTGTGCCCCAACACCAGCTAGCAGTTAGAAGTGTCTACTGAGGACCATCGGAGCCTTTAGAAGGCATAGCTCAGATACTGCAGCTGCAGACAGGGTCACCAGCTCCACCTCTGGTTTGTCAGCTCAGCCCAGTTCCTAAACCACAGGGTCTAGTGGCACTTAAGGCGTTTTCCTTCTCCCTTAGTTTAGCTGACCTCCAGTGAAGAGGCCCTACCGGTACGTGAGAGGAGTTCAGGCCCTGGGTGGGGAGTCCTGCAGCTGCAATGGTAAGACAGCTCCCAGTGCCCTCAGAGCTGCCTCAGAGCCAAGGGCACACACAATCCTCAGCACTCACTACTCTGCGGGCAGTTATGGCAGAGCTTGGTGCTCATTTCTGAGGAATCTGAAGATTACAGTAGTGCAGCATTAGAACTAAAATGGGAGGTAGGGGTTCCGTGGAAACAAACATCCTTTAGCCGTCCCGAAGAATTATTTACTTGTTATTATTTATAAATGACATTTAATGCTAAGTAAACACTGCTACATTTTCAAAGACTCCGTGCAGAAATGAGGCTGACAGTCATAAATGGGTCATCAGCTTCACCCCACACCTTGCTGGAGGGAGCTAGGAAACAGCTGGCCCACTGCAAGCCATCTGACCCGCAGTTTCTTATCAGAGTTGAAATCTATTGGTCTAGACAAAGCCAAGAGGCAAGAACAGATGGAATATAACAACTGGCCTGATCTGCATCTGTAGGAGCTCTTATCCCCTCAGACCCTTGTTCAGACAGTGCACAAAGAGCCACGCCCCTCAGACCTCCTGTAAACCCACCGCGCCAGTGAGGGAAGGCAGATGCAAACAGGCCCTGGTCCACCCAAGCTGAGGTCGAGGACAGCAGCCACTTCTGTGCCTTTAGCAGCACTGCAGACAGAGGTGGCCTGCCCTGTCTCTGTAGGTGTTGCCATGGCCATGGCCTGCCAATGGACAAGTGATGCCAACCATATGGGAGGCGTATGATTTTAAATGATAGTTAATGACTTAGGAACCAGGGGAAATAAATATTAACTGAATATAGCCCAACTTACTACAGTACATAATAAAATAAAAACTCTCAGAGGCGGGTGTTAAGAGCCTTTGAAGCACACTGCTTGCAACAGTGCACATTTCAACTTGGACAGGCCCCATCTTTGATATTTGGTGGCCAAGTGATTCCTGATTGCCATGAGAGTCAACATGAGCCTGACAATGAACATGCCCATTCTGGTGGCCTCTGTGCCCTTTCCTTGCAATTCTGTGGATGATGAGTTTCCTCCCGGGTTCTAGCTCGCAGTGACACACAGCTCTCACTGAATCTGCCCTGTCCTAGCCCAAGGCCCTCATTGTCCGCGGTGTGCTCAGGAGTCCTTACTCTCCATCATGTGCACTGTCCTGGCCACGAGGCCAAGGTGAGCACACTCGGGTCTCCTCAACCAGCCCATCACATCTACCTACCTTTCAACTCCTGCAATCCCACTCAAATGTCAGAGAATTGGGCTGTCTCAGTGGGGGTTCACTTCTGCCATGTCAGCCCTGGCCATAAGTGGAGGCCAGGACCTCGGGGCCCTCCACCATAGACAGGAAGACTATTGCAAAGGTGAAATGAGAACCAGATAGACCTGGCCTCCAGTTCCCTGACCCTGAGGTCACAGGCTCCTGAGTACACTGGCCTGCTGGCCCCTAGAAGAATGTGTGAAGCCAGCACAGGCCACCAGAAACTGAAAACTGTAGAGCAGGGAAGGGCCTTAGCCCAGCACCAACACCCAGATCAAGACCGCCTGGCTTTGTTACTCGTCATTAGAACAGTGACCTCCACACTGTTTACTCTTAGGATGTGTCTCTGCAGAATCTGCAGTGGAGGCACTGGGTCCGGTGGTGTAGGCCTAATACTCCTGCACGCGGGAAGCAGAGGCCTGCAGCCACAGCAAGGGCTACAGGAGACCCTGTATGAAACGCCTGTTCCCCTAAAGAAGAGAATGTAAAATATACCCTTTATGGGGTTGGGGGGAGGTTGAGTTCCACCAAGCTACACCCCAGCCTGTCACCATTAGTCCATGCTATAGTGTAAAGCCTGGGAGGTGAAAGGGGAAGTGGCCACACCCCCACTGAAGCAGTGTCGAGCGGGGTCAAGGCAAAGAGCCACTCTCGTACCAGAGTGTGGTGGTTCTGCATCCCTCCTCTGATTTCTCTGCTTGGGGATGGGCAAGTCAAGATTAGAGATGGCACCCAGGAAGAACTTGTGTGACTGCTGGGTGTGTGCACTTGGGCCAGCCTAGCCCTATGTACAGGCTTCACAAAACTGAGGTCTCTCCAGCAGAGACCCTAGTCCCAGCGATAAGACAACTCTTGAACCTGAGCTCTTCTGGTCTCACCAAATTTGCCAACATTGCTGGATATTTCATTTTAAAATTACACAACAAAATACTCCAGGTCTGGGTTTGGGTTAGATTCTAATTTACAATAATACAATGCTAATAGAATTAAGCCTTATTTCACCAGGATATACAATAAAAACAACACTGTGCCTTAGAAACCAGAACAACCAAAGAACAAGTCCATTTTCCTGCCTGCCCTGGCAGATGTTGCTGAGATGGATTATAGCTGGTCGGATGCTGTACATGCAAAGACATGTCTTGGACTTCTGCTCTTTGCCCTGGGTGTGTTCCCCTTATCTGTCTGAGCCTAAGAATTCACTACTCTATTCCACACAGTCTACAGCAAAGACCAGAGAAAACCTGGAAAGAAAGCACCCTTCTGTAGAAAGAGGTCAGAGCAACCAGACTCGGTGTCGTGACTTACTGTCCCGGGACCCTGGGTCCTGCTGGGCTGTGGGCCTTGTTCACAAGCTAGCCCTGAGAGGCCACACTGAAGGCAGCACAAAGGGGCTACACAACCTGATCTCTGGTGAGAAAAGGGAAATGTCAAACTCTTTACAGACACCCAGGGAAAGACAGAAAATGAACCGTGCAAGTGGCTGAAGGCTTCTTTGAGGTTGTACGTTAAGGGCCAGCTAAGGCCCTCATTCCGTGACCCTCTGGGCCCTGAAGTTTGCCACAGAGGAAATCTTCTCTGGCTTACCCTCTGCAGGAGCTGCCCAGAGTCCACCCAAAAGCAGAGACTGGTTTTAGAGGCATGGCTCCAAGACAAGAGCTGCTACAGAACCATTAACTACAACACTGACGGCACCCACATCTACAGGTAGCCCTGGACACCAAGTATACAGTAGCTATGTCTTAAAAAATCAAATGGTATGGTTTTCTTTAAACAAAGGAGAAAACGTCGTTAGCCTCTTTTAGGCCTGTAAAGCTAATTAGTTTCTAAGAAAAAGCCCCCCTGTGCTGCTCGTGTGTGTGTGTGGGGGGGTCCCTTTGAGCTGCAGGTTTGAACAGCTCTCCTGCACGGCAGCACACAGTCAACCTGATCTGCACCCAGAGTCAGGCAGTAAGGAAACACCCTGGAACTATCTGTGGGGGCTCCGAGGCAGAGAGCACAGGACCACAGCAGCTTGGAGGAGAGGCAGCTAAGCAAGAACCCAGTGTCTCAGGAAACAAGAGCTAACGGGTAAGTGGGAGCACCTTGGTCCAGCTCTCTCTCCCCATGTCACCCCGGCATGTCACCTGTAATTCCTGCATGTAAACATCTGGAGATGGGGGTGACTGGTGAAGTCTATGTACTGAGGGACATATGCAGGGCTGATCCGCCTGACCCCCGTGGAGTGTCGCCTGCTGCCTGCTCCGTCACTCCTGTTGCACTGGGCTCTAGGTGAAGACAAAAGCCACCCCCCAGCCCAGACGCCCAGCAGGGGTGAGGTGGGAGTGTGCTGAGAGGGAAGAGCTCCTACAGAGGCCCACAGTGTCCTTGGCTCCCTAGGCTGCCTAGGTGGCTGCAGAGCCTAGCTCCCTCCAGAGTTAACATTCACATTACACTGGATCCTTTTCAAAGAGAACCCAGGGCCTGATCCAGACAAGCTCACACACAACTGCGGCTCTGGAGCTCAGCGTCAGCGGTCCACACAGCAGTAGGAAGAGGTGGCTTCCATGGTTATTAGTTCTAGAAAAGTTAACGAGGCTCTTAATTTTACAGCACTTAACAGCTTTCTCTTTTGGCTCACTGAGATTCTTTTTTGTAAAGCTTAGATGTGAAAATGACTTATTGAAAATTCTCTACATTTACAATGCATTCACACGTTTATTCAATGTCAGTATACAGAGGAGAGAGAGCCCCCAGTACTGCAGAATGTCAAGTATGTGGTTAGTCTCTTTTCTGCGACAGTGACAAGCGAACAGCTAAAAAACAAAGCAATGAACAGAAACATGGTTCTCAGGATTAAGGAGTAACAACACTGATATTCAACTTCAGTAGTTATTGCAACAGTAGGAGCTCGGGTCCTGTGTTTCACAGCAGGAGGGCTCTTCAGGAAACGTATTCAAGTTGTGAAGAGATCAGATGAAAATGTAAGAAAGGAAATACACATTTACCTTGACTCTCACTGAAGATAAATACTCATACAACTTTACACAATGTCACCTAATAACAATCTTTAAAAGCCAAGTACACAGAAGTTAAAATGCAAGACTTTCACACTTTTAACTCAAGAGGCAGAAATTGAGCCATGACACAAAGATAATGTAACAGTTGCAGCATGAATGAAAAGTTCTGCATCAATGTGACATTGCTCCACCAGAAGAGCATGTTCTTACAGTTGAACTTGGGATCAGAGTCTCAAGGTAACGGTTGCATACAAGTGCTTTTCCACAGAGAGCCGCGGGCTTCACTAATGCCACACTGCCGTCCTCTCCCTGGGACACGGCACAACACTTTGATGAGCACCTTGTTAACCTAAGCCGGCTCGTGGTGGTCCAGTCAGCCCAAGTAGACAGCATGTTCTGGACAGAAACGGCCTGGTGGGTGTGGGGCTCCCCCATGCATCCCCGGATGTTCAGCCTTAGAAACCAAACTCCAACCTTCCAAGTTCAGGAGCAGGCCTACTTGGAAAGGTGCATGGAGGCTCCATGGGTGACGGATGAGACCTCAACAGAGGACAAGCCTCAATGGTGCAGCTGGCTCTGAACCAAGAGGCATAAGGGACCATGGACCCCTTCAGCCATGACTGCCCACAGCATAGCCTGCATTCTAACATCAGTCACTGGAAAGCCACCACTAAACGCTGGTCCTAGTGTTTTTCTCAAGTGGTCCGATAGACTGGTGGTGGCATTGGGGTTTCCACAGGACCTTTTTCTGGCCCTACATGTCCTGTGTCTTGTTCCTCCTCACACTTTGAGCTTGCTCAACAAAGAAGAAAATATCTCCCTCCAGCGAGAAGTGAGAGGACCTTACCGACAGGGACACACATTGTGCTAAGGCAGGCTCACTCATTTTAGCACAAATTCAATGTTAAATTTATTAAAAATTCAGAATGTGATGTGGAGAAATGGCCCAGGGTGTTTTAAGAAAAACGCCAGAGGGGACATCCTGGGCTGGGATGTGTACACACCCCCACAGAAACTGCCAAGTTTTATAGTCCTTGTCACACCTGATTTCAGAATGTGGGCTTTTCTAAAAACATTCACTCTTCATCCTGACCTAAGTGGCTCTCAAAACACTACTAAACTCAATCAGCATAACAGACAACCTTAAAGCTCTTTATCCCTGGAGGCTGATCTGGAGGCCAATTACTGGCCGCAGGAGTCACCCAATCTCTCAGGGACATTTGCTTTTCAAAGAAGGCACAACTTCCAAGCCTCTCAAAGGGCCCGGCTGTGGCTCAGAAGTGCAGAGCCAGCACGGCAGGGGTCGAGTCCCTTGGCTAAGTCCCCGGGCACGGCAGGGGGAGGAAAGTGGGACCAGGCTGGAGCCGATTCACCACAGCTACAGTGCAGCTGGCAGCTGCGGTGGGCGAGCAGGACAGACAGCAGGCTCTACCTGTACAGCGGGGCCCTCGCGGGGCAACACCATGGGGACTGGACTCCTGCCTGTAGGACCCTCTTCTTGCCAAAAGCTCTTTTATTCCGGGGACTAGCCACCAGAGACATTCTTGTTCATGAAAATGCTCTACAGAGGGCTGGAGAGAAGGCTCAGAGGTTAAGGGCCCTGGCTGCTCTTCCAGAGGTCCTGAGTTCAATTCCCAGCAAACACATAATGACTCACAACCATCTGTAATGAGATCTGGTGTCCTCTTCTGGCCTACAGGCATACATGCAGACAGAACACTGTATACATAATAAATAAATCTTTTTTAAAAAAATTATTTAAAAAATAGACTGCTCAACGGAGAAACAGGGAAGTTTTGATGAGGAAGCTCCAAGTTTGGTGAGGAAACTACAAACATGCTCCCCAAATTTCTCTGGGTGACTACTGTGGAAGCAGGGTAGCCCTCCCTGTGCATCATTCTTTGGAGATCAGAAACCATCATGACACAACCCCATGACGCCCACCACCTCTGTCTGCAGGGCACCAGGAAGGAGCCCCTGCCCTCCAGCGCCCTCTTCTGGAGCTGCCGCACCTTTAGTTCTGGTCTTGGAGAACACCTTGCACTCTGTCCTCCTGCCTGCAGAACTGCTCTGCCGGCTGTCAAAGAAAGGGGGGCAGGAATCAGTCAGGGGGGCAGAGTGGGCCTGGGGCAGCATTGCCCTGCATGCAGGGGCCAGCCTGGGCCAGATCATGCAGCTAAGACAGCCTCTTTACAACTGACCCTGGACTCTTACCAGTTCCTGAACAGGGCAGGGAAGCCCAGGAGATTAAGAGACACAGCAGAGGGCCCCAAACAGGGTTTCCAGAATAGACATTAACAGATACTATACTTAGCAGCAGAAATTGGAAGAGACTGTGACCAAACCCCAAATCACAAACTGTGACATTATCATAGGGATGCAGAAAAGAATTTACAGGCCTCTATCAGGCAATATAGCTGAGGCCCGTTTTCATTCCCCCTTGTTCTGCTCTCCCAATTCCCAACAGCAAGTGACTCTTGCATCACAGCAGATGGGGCTAGGCATGCTCCCAGGGCAGATCCATAAGGGCCCATTATCTGTGCTGGGTTCACAAGCACACATGTGATGGCTTCCTTGCCAGCAGATAGCTTCACAACTGAGACATCAGCATATCTTCATCATAAATATTACTTACCTATGATTGGCCACTCTATTTGGGCCAAATACAAAGTCCTGAATTTGGAAACTGCATACTCAATGCCTCAGAAGCATTTGAAAGTGAATTTCAGAAACTGCACATCGAGTGTTCATTTCTAATCTGCCCACCTGGCAGCCCAATTTGACCTCTGAAGTTCAGTCTTCATGGCGGCGGTCTTTGCTCCCTCAGATCAGTTAACCCTAAGAACTAAGGAGTATATTCCCAAGGCAGATGGGACATGAGCACCTGCTCAGGGACACAAAAATGTCTTGGCATATAGGTGAGATACCCTGGAAGCTGCCATCATCTCATGGGCATCATCATCATGACAGTCTCAGTGGCTGTCACATTAAACAGGACAGGGATGGGGACACTGGTCTAGCCATGAACAAGGAGGAGCATGAGAAGGGGCCTGGGTCTGGTCTGGCTTCTGGAGAGAAAAGCCGGGTTGGTGGCTGCTGTCTACCAGAGTCTTGACACTGCGGACATGAAAGCTGCCAGATCTTTGCTACTGTCATATCCACTACTCAGGGCAATACAAATGGTCACTACTGCTATAGTTAATGACAAAGGGGTACCAGACAGAAATAATCCTAAATATTCCAAATTAACAAAATAACTATCATTCTGACACAAAATACCCAGCTCAAAGAACTGGAAAATCTCCAGTAAACCTGTAAAAACTACAGATTAAAAGAATTCTTGAACAGCTGAGGAGGACCTAAGGAGCTGGAAACAAACTGCAATTCCCATCACTTTCCTGCTACAGGGGCAAGCCACACAGCACTGCTCCTGAGGGGACACAGGACACAGGGCTCCAAGGGTAGGCTCTGAGTCCTGCACCAGCATCTGTCTCCAAGAGTCCTCCTGGACTCACAGCGACCATTCAAGAACACGAAAGGGGTGGATGCTTTGTGCTTTCCCTGTGGGGGAACTGGCCTCCCTCCCCAATGCCATGTCAGAAGGTATCTTGCAGCCGGACAACCTAACAGCCCACACAAAGCAGAACTGAGAAGCCTGCCCTTGACTTCCAGCCACACCTTCCTGACCCTAAAATAAAGCTCCCCCGCCCCCCAGCAAAACAGACAGAACCTCCTTTTCCCTATGGGAAAACACAAGCTATGCACATCTAACACAAGTCTCGGCTGCTGCGGCCAGTGTCCTTGGCCCCGCATCCTAACTCCAGGCTCTGGACATGTGGGGAGTTTAGGGCACAATTGCAATCAGAGTTCTACAAACTGCTTCTTTGAAAAACGATGTTTATTAAACAATTTTAATTGTCATAAAATGACTAAAATGGGTTTTAAAAATTAAGGCTCTTTTCTTTCTGTGGATTGCCAGACAATGTAAAAATAATATCAATCAACCCTGATGAACGCTTTGTTCCTAAGTTAAATTTCATAGATTCCTAAACATTTTATGATTTAAGATAAAAAAGTTGGACCATAAGTGATAATTAATGGCCATCTGTACTGAACATACACTGACCAGGTGCACAACAATCTAGTTGAGGAGTTACGCAGAAATATCCCAGTTAAAGCATAAATTTCGACGTTAGCATTTTAATGTCATTATTTTTCCACACTGTCATGATTTCCCTATAACCGGAATAGTCTGATACAGGAATGCTAACTTTGGGACTCTATATACCCAGAGGGATGACTGGCTTGGCTGGCAATTAGTCTGATTATATATTTTTAAATGCTCTAAGGTGGATTATCAAATGATTCAGAATTACATGGCATGCAGTATCCAAAATTATGGCTCTGATGCATTTAGATTTACATTAAGAAGTGTCATTCACATTCATTGTACATCCCACCCCTCCCACAAGAAAAAAAATCACTACCTAGTCAAGTTCTAGATCTGGTGCAGCATTAAGGATTAAAACTTACCACTTTACCAGGCCTTGCCCATGTGCAAATAAATCCCTCCTGACAAGCAGTGACTATACAGTCTTCAAGAAAAACCAATACAGTCAGTCTTTCATGAGCTATCTTTTTACAGATCAGCGGCTCTAACAAAGGAACATCTTCCATCCGAGGACACAGGGATGTTCCCAGAGTTTTAGCTGGGTCCGTTTTGGCTTTAGTAACTAGATTCAGTTTGTCACTGCTCTTGCTGGAAATGTGTCCCATACTATGATTTCGTTTATGGTCTTTTTCATGGTGTCTCTCCTTCCGGTCGTGCAGCGACAGAGTTGCAAACTTGCTGACCCCAGAGGCAATGGCCCCATCCATGACGCTGCTTTTGCTACCAGCATTGGAGACTGCTGAATGTGGAAGGCTATTGGACCGTGGTAATGGAGGGGGCACAGAGTTTCCAGGTGTAGTGACACTGTTCCCATTGCTTCCAGCAGGTGGACTGGTGGCATTCATGACATTTGTATGTGTCCTTGCTCTTGAGAGGGGTTGGTGAGGGAAAAGGATGTCTTCTGTAAGGTCCCATAAACACAGTTGTGTATCCTGACCCACTGAACCAAACCGATAGGTAACACTTACAGGGCGGCTGTCTGTAGAGTTCCGTTTGGACAGCCTAGACTGTGTACTGTTTGCTCGATCTCTGCCAAAATGAAGAAGGTCCTGGAAGTCCTCATCACTGCCACTAAACTCCATAGGGTCACTTTCTTCTACGCTAGTAGTATAGGGATCAAATGCTACAACACTGACCCAGGATTTGTGCCCATGGCCTCTAGCTATTACTCGGCAGTCTAGAAAGGACCAGACTGTCACCAAGTCGTCCTCTCCACCTGTCACAATGTACTTGCCATCTGGGCTCCAGCACACACAAAGCAAGCCCCCAAAGTAGCTTTTCATTGTACCGTGCAGCTCCACTGAGTCAAAGTTGAACACACGCAGAAACCCGTCCTGGCTCACACATGCTAAGAACTTGCCATCTGGGGAGAAAGCAAACTCGTTGAGGGCCCCCTCGCCCACCGTCCACTTAAGGAGAGGGTTCCTCGTGGATTTGCTCTTGCAAGTGTGCACGGCAAAGCTCTCTCCCTGCTTCAGAAGCTGGTAGTGGGGGGCTGTGGTGCCACAAGTGTGCTCCACATTATATAAGTACATGTTCCCACTTGAATGGGCTACTAGGAAAAGGCTTTCCGAACCAGGAACCCATTTGACACAGGTTACGCGTGACTTGTCTATTAGTCTCTGTGAAGACAAAGGAGAACAAGTTATCACAATGGAGAAGTTACCGTCTACTTTCCAGAAACAAACAAACAAAAACAAACAAACAAACAAAAGCTTGTCTGCTTCTCAGCAAGAAGAAAAGAGCCCATTCAGGCACTCCATTTTATCCTGTGTCAGCCAGGCCAGTGAAGAGCCTGTGGCCCATTCTAGAATTGCATTTGGGTGTCAGGACCCTGTCTTTTACTGAGGGTATCAATCAATGGATAAATATCTGCTGAGAGCCTATTCTGTGCCAGACCCCAGGCACACTGGTGTGGGACAGCCTTTGGCCCTTACAGTAGAAATAACTGAATGTTTCTTGCTACGGCTACATCCCCTCTCTACAAGGACTCACAGGACAAGTTTCTGTCCTCATAGCTTTCTTTGCCTTTGTCACTTTAGGCCATGGGCCTTTCTGTGGCTGCTCCAGGACAGGAAATCATCTGCAGCCTGTGACCAGCAGAACACAGGACTTGAAAACACATTTCCTGGATAGGATACAGTCTGGACTCACTGTGTCTTTTAACCCACATCTCCCAGATTCCCGTTGAAGGTGGAGGCTGGCTTGGGAGCCTGTACTCCACCACTGTCAATCTATTTCGTGCTCATCTTTGGTCCACTGACCTAGTTGCCCCTTTAAATGCATGTATCAGTGTCTAATCTTTAAAACCAAACAAATAGAAGCAGACACAAATGCCACTCAGATGTACAGAAGGGGTACCCTTCTCTGTGCAGACCCTGCTATAGGACTCATCAGAGCACATACCCTCCACAGGCAACAGAGCTCACCAGAAGTTCCCAATCCTGCCCTCGAACTCCCTGGAATACCTGCCAGGTATTCTCTGTTATTTCTTTACTCTTTACTGGGACATTTTACCTAACTGGTTGGGGTTCCCCAACATGAATCTCAGAGAGTCACCAGGGCACACTAGTACGGACCTGAGCTACAGCCATCTGCCTGATTGGTTTGGTGACTATGTGTCAGCAATGTGTGCTGTTTCCTTTACAGAAGAGGACAGAAATGAGATAATGTGACTTTAAAAGAATGGAAGCTGGGGTGCAATGTGCATGAGGATCTGGGTTTTCATATACAGCACTAGGTACAACAACAGTAATAATAAACAATAGGACAGAAAAGAAACTGAATCATGTGAGCTCACTGCATAAAAATAAGACTCAGAAGGAATGGGTTGTAACAAATGACTCTGCTGGGAAAACAGGAGCCGGAATGCCCACAGTATGAGACCTGGCGTTCCAGGTTCTCAAGTCTGAGCAAGGAGCATGAGCTATCACTGCTTACTGGCACAGAATAGCATGACAGGCATCTTAGCCAGTACGTACTGCCCTTGATGACACAGTTACCGTTTTCATTTCCTGCTTGGTGACCTGCCTGTCAATGGCACGTGCCTTATGTTAATGTCAACTGCCTAAACACCCAGCACTGTCCCGCAGGATTTCCATTCGACTATTTCATAATGTCATAAATTATGAGATTTCTTAACAAGGGGTCACATAATCTTCATAGCTAGATCACAGCCTATGGGGGAAGAGGGTGTTAGGAGGGTGCAGAAATTAAGAGCCTCCAGCTACATGACCGTGAAGGCTCACTGCTAACTCTTCCACGAGGCCAGGCTGCTCCACACTCACCGAGTCCAGGGCCATGACTATGCCAGGTGGGTTTGCACATGTAACTTGGATCTAAAGTCAGACTATGTCCTGACCCTAGCCTTGTTTTCTCCAGTCACTATTACTCCATTCATGTGGAAAATTTAAAGATTCTCGCAATATGACTAAGTGTAAATTTTTACCTACAAACTTAAAAAAAGTACAACAGAAAAATTCCACTGGAATTCTGGTAAGAAAGGAAGTGCTGTTATGTGATGGGGAGGTGCAGACAGCGGTGAGCAGATGCAGTGCAGTGCTGTGTGATGGGGAGGTGCAGACAGCGGTGAGCAGATGCAGTGCAGTGCAGTGTGATGGGGAGGTGCAGACAGCGGTGAGCAGATGCAGTGCACAGTGATGGGGAGGTGCAGACAGTGGTGAGCAGATGCAGTGCAGTGTGATGGGGAGGTGCAGACAGCGGTGAGCAGATGCAGTGCAGTGTGATGGGGAGGTGCAGACAGTGGTGAGCAGATGCAGTGCAGTGTGATGGGGAGGTGCAGACAGCGGTGAGCAGATGCAGTGCAGTGTGATGGGGAGGTGCAGACAGCGGTGAGCAGATGCAGTGCAGTGTGATGGGGAGGTGCAGACAGCGGTGAGCAGATGCAGTGCAGTGCAGTGTGATGGGGAGGTGCAGACAGCGGTGAGCAGATGCAGTGCAGAAAGTTTTACTCACTAAAATGTGCACTCCAACCACCCTAGGCCAATCTGTGGATATAGCTGACAGAGAAAACCTCTAACAACCCACTGTATGCAGACCTTACTGTTGTCCCTGGGGACTGGGCACACCAGTGTAGCAATGACAGACCAAATCCAAGGGAGCACATCTGAGTCAGGGGCGTGGCACAGCAGGAAGACAAGCCTCACTTCCGACCCGAGGATCTATTTCTGGGTGCCAGGTGTTGGCAAGAGGCTTTCCATCCACCCCCTAGTGCTCCAAACACTCCACAAGTCTGAGCACTCATAATTCATGTGCAAGACTACAAGCAGAAAGCCTCACTTGGACTCCTTTCCTGCACTCAGGACCTGCTGCCCCAGTCACTGGGATTAGCTCATCTACCCAAAATGCTTGCTTACACACTGCCAAATAGAGCACAAATATATCAACTCTCACCTGTTTCCCTGTGCATCCTCATTCTTCTCTGAAATTACAAAGCACTCAATCACCCTACTGTTCAGTATTGATGTAGTGTGAACGACCATGAGCCAGGGCAGTTTTCACAAGCGTGAACAGTATGTACAGATCAAAGGGGTATAAGCTTTACAAGCTTTCCAGAGGAATAGCCAGATTGTTTCCCATGAAGACTATAACAATTTATGCTCCCACCAGGGCCTGTTTTCCCTACCAGAAGGTATGGCCTATGAAGAGACAGAAAAGTTCAGAGGTCTTCAAACTTGTCTGAAGTCACGTCCATTCATTTACTCAGTCAACACTGAATACATACCACATGTCAGACATTTATTTATACAGCATTGATTAAAACTGCCATCCCTATCTATATGGCAGATGTAGTGAGGTAAATGCTGTGCAGAAAAATTATCCAGGAAAGGAAAACAAAGTGCTGGGAATGGAATGTCTTGGCAATTTCAGTCTAAGAGGACAGCTAAGAAAAGCCCCTTAATATGTGAGAGTTAGCTGGGCACAAAGTGAGGCCAGCACACAGTGTGCTGGGGAGACACTGGAGTAGCCGAGGGAACAGATGCAGGAGCTCCAGACCCTGTAGAAGTAGCAGTGTGCTACTGAGAGTGGCTGCAAAATGGGTAGCTGTCCCCTGTCCTGAAGACCTGAGGTCTGAGACCAGCCTGCCACGCCCACTAGCCAAGTGTCCCTGCAACAGAGCGCCAGCCTAGTGCAGACTGCAGACTGCACAGCAAGTGGGAAACACAACTCCTTGACTAGCGGTTACCTGACTTCAATTGTTCTAGGTTGTTACTAGTTTGAGTGTAACAGAGAAAGAACAAAAGTGTCTTACATCTATCTTTCAAATAAAGAAACAGAAACATCTGGAACATTTTACTTGATAAATATAAGAATAAAAATTACATAGAAGGTGGGCATCGTGGCTAGGCTGCATAAGGAGCATCAGGACAGCTAGGATATGGCAAGACTGTCTCAAAAATTATTTTTTTTTAACACAGCCCAGCCAAAAAGGTTACATTTTTATTTTAGAAAATGTCTGATTTAAAAAATAAAAAACAAACAAAGAAAAAAAATCCAATAGAGTTAAGAACCAGTGTAGGTGGTGGATACCTTTGTTGCTTTTGAGTTCTCACTGGAGCAGACCCTCATCTAACTAGCAAGATACCCTACAAAGGCCTATTCCTCCAAGCCATACTGCATGTGGGTAGGGGTGGGTGGGGGTGAGGCAGGAGCGAAAGGGTCAAGGCTCACAGAGCAGTCGGGGGATTAGGAAAGGCTGGAGCACCTGGAACACAACTGTGAACTGAGACACAGGACTGTGAGGTCCTAGGATAGGGGCCAGGCTGTAGAAGCCATACACTGTCTCTTCCATGTGGGAGATGTGTTATAAATGTAGAATATACACTAGATTCTGCGGGTGTGGTATGGAAAAAGATTGTCAAAGATCTTATTCCTAGTTTTAATATTATATAATGAAATATCTGAATGTATGAGAAAAAATATAGTGTATTCTTAAAATTAATTTCGCCCGATTTCCATCCTTTGAAAATGTGAGTGCAGCTCACTCTGCATTCTCCTTGACAGTGCTACTGCAGACAAGGGGCATCACAGGCTCTACAACAAGGAGGAAATCCTAGCAGAAAGAACAAAAGGTCAAATGGAGACGAGGTCAGGAGGTCACTGGTCTCCAACCTAGCCAGTGATAATGTCAGGTGCGTCTGTTGACAGTGAATGTAGTGGGGACGATGAGAGGAGTATAAAGTTCATAAAGACCCCTAAGTTCAGCCCCAGAGACAGCTGGGAAGGTCAGTCTGTAGCCAGTGAAAATGAGCAGAAAAGTCAAGCAGATGGAGAGCTACAAACCTGGGACATCCTGGGATCTCTGAGGAAGATGGTTCAGCTAGGTAGAGTGTAGGATTCTGGAAAAATCTACCCAGAGGGAGCACAGTAAGGCCATGCTGTCATACTCACTATGGTGACCACAGAGCTCTCCTTGAAAGAGCCAGCTTCCAAAAGACTCAGAGCCCATTTCTAAAACCACTTTTGTGAAAATAACAAAACCCAGCCCAACTCCTGGCCAAAGCACAACAGAACACTGCGGTGTCCAGGTCAAGGGTCAGGTGTAGAGCTGCAGACTCAGAAGTTAGTACGAACCCTTGGAGCACTCAGCCAGAGCTCACTC